TGATTGATTTGAGACTTTTTCTAATGTAAACATTTAGTGCTAAAGAGTTCAGTCTTACCACAGCTTTTACTGAGTCCTGCAAAATTTTGGTTTGGCATTTTCATTTTTATTCAGGTTAGTGTATTTTTTCCCTTGGATTTTCTTTGGCCTGTGGATTATTTAGAAGCTTTTTGTTTAATTTCTAGGCGTTTGGAAATTTTCTTCTTATAGATATGTTATTGATTTCTAGTTTGACTCCACTGTGATAGAAGAATGCACCTCAAATGATTCTGATTCTTTTAATTTTGCTGTGATTTGTTTTATGGTCCAGGATATGGTCTCAGTCCGTGTTTTGTGGGCACTTGAAGAGTGTGTGTTCTGATCTTGTTGGGTGGAGTGTTCTATAAATGCCGATTAGAACTATTGGTTGATGGTGCTGTTGAGTTCTTCCCCAGCTTTACTGATTTTCTTTCTTTTTTTTTTTTTTAAGATTTTATTCATTTACTCATGAGAGACGCAGAGAGAGAGAGAGAGAGAGAGAGAGAGAGAGAGAGAGAGGCTCCATACAGGGAGCCTGATGTGGGACTCGATCCTGGGTCTCCAGGATCACGCCCTGGGCCAAAGGCAGGTGCTAAATCGCTGAGCCACTCAGGGATCCCTGATTTTCTCTTTATTTGTTCAGTTGCTGCAGAAGTGATGCTGAAGTCTCAACTGTAAATGTGGGTTTACCTGTTTCTCCTTTCAGTTCCATCAGTTTTTGCTTCACATATTTGCAGCCTTGTTGTCTGGTGTATATGTATTTAGGATTCCTATGTCGTCTTGGTGGATTTACTCTTTTATCATTATATAATGTCTCTCTGTCCCTCATAATTTTTTTTTTGATGAGTAATTTATCTGTTATTACTGTAGCCTCTACTACTTCCTTTGATTGATGCTTGTGTGATACATCTCTTTCCAGCCTTTACTTTCAGCCTGTCTGTAGCATTATATTTGAAGTGAGTTTCTTATAAACGACATATAGTTGGATCATACTTTTTAAATCCACCTAATCAATGTCTTTTCACTGGTATATTTAGCCCTTTTACATTTATACATTATTGATATACATTGGTCCTTTTACATTTATAATTATTGGTATGTTAAGGCTTAAATCTCCTATTTTACTATTCTATTTTTTCTCTGTTTTATTTTTTCTGCACTCCTTTAGGGTTATGTTGACTTTTTTTTTTTTTTTTAAGAAATCCACATTGATTTATTTATAGTGTTTTTGAGTGTATCTCTTGATAGCCTTTTTAGTGGTTGGTCAAGATATTGCATTATATATACAAAACTAATCACAGTAAACTATCATTGTTTTACCAGTTCGCTTTATGGCTCTTCCCCTGTTTATTATAATTATCTTGAATATTTCCTCTGCGTATATTTAGAAGCACAACAGACAGTATTGTTGTGTCTGCCTCAGTTGTCACACATAATTGACAAAAGTCCAGAGAAGGAAAACTCATCGCCTTTACTTTCATTCTTTTCTCCTTCCTCGTGTTCCAGACTTCCTTCTTCCATCTTTGCCTTTCTGTTTAAATAAGTTCGTTCAGCAATTGTTTTTGGGCAGGTCTGCTGCAAACAATGCTCTCATTTTCCCTCTTTTGAGACTGTCCTAATTTCCTTGTCAGTTCTGAAGGATGTTTTTGGTGGGTATCTGGGTAGATTTTGGGATTCTGGGCTGGTGGTTCTTTTCTTCCAGTGCTTGAAGGATGTTGTGTGATTTCCTTGTGGCCTCTGTGGTTTCTGATGGGAAATGAAATCCTTTGTCATTCGGATTGTGTTTCCCTCAAAGGTGTAAGGTATCATTTTTCTCTGGCTGCCATCAAGATTCTTTCTTTACATTTAGTTTTCAGAAGTTTAACTGTGTGTCTTCCAGGAGATTGAGTTTACTCTGTTCAGGTGCTCAGCTTTGTGGATACTTAGATTTATATCTCTTGCCGTAGTTGAGAAGTTTTTAGCCATCATCTTTTTGAATGCCCTTTCAGCCCTGTCGTCTTTGTTTCCCCTCCTGAGACTCTGATGATATGAATGTTAGATCTTTTGTTATAATCTCACACTCCCTGAGGCTCTGTCCATTTCTTTTCCAGATTGTTTTCTCTCTGTTGTTGGAATTAGGTAATTTCTGTTATTCTCTCTTCTAGTTTATGGATTTTTCCCTCTGTCTCTCATCCTTCTATTTAGTGCATCTGCTGCATTGCTTATTTTGGTTATTATATTTTTCAGTTACATTATTTCCATTTGGTTCTTTTTCTATCTGTGTATTTACTGAGACTTTCTATTTCCTTGTTAAGCCTTCTAGTTTTTTAGTTCTTTCAAGTATGTTCATAATTGTTCATTGAAGCATTTTTATTATGGCTGCTTTACGACCTTTGGCAGGTAATACTAACATCTTCAAGCATCAGTGTTGTGGCTACAGATTGAGATATACCCCGGTTTTGGTATGACAAGTGATTTTCTCTTGAACCCTGAACATTTTTTGTATTCCATTATGAGACTCTGGATCTCATTTAGGCCTTGTGTTTTAATAGCTTTTTCTGACACTGCTCTGCCAAGGCCTGGGGAAGGGGTCTCTGTCACTAACATGGGGGTAGAAGGAAGTCTAGGTTCTCCACTAGACTTCTGCTGACATCTGAGGGAAGCGGTCTTGTCCATATGCTGGGCAGGGTAGGTGGTGGGAGTTTGAACTCTGTATGTAGTCTCCACTGGGGCTTGACATGGGGGTGGGTGGCTATACCACCCCTTCCATACTTAGCCATTCTGCTGACCCTGGCAGGGTCGGGGGATATCAGAGGGCCTCATTCCAGCTTCATATGAGAGGATGCCCAGGGTCCCCTGGCCTTTGTTAGCTTGGCTGTGGGTTGGCTTCTGCTTTTTTTGGTGGTGTTTGATGGAAGTAGAGCTGTTATTATCTAACATGTGCCATATTGGTCTGGCCCCCTGGCTAGGGAGAGGTGACCTGTCAGGGCTTCACCTGCACTTGGTACTACCAGATTGCTGACTCAGCTCCAGTGTGAGGGGCACAAGGGCCAGAGGGCAGCCCAGGGAATGCTGCCTGTGTGGTTCCTCGGATTCCATGGGAGTGCAGCAGTCTGTCTGCCGTCCTCCCTTCACAGCCTTCTGTGCACGAAATCCCCAGGGATCTCATCGTGCCTGGTGGGGAGGGCAGGGAAAGTACATCTTCCCATCTCCCTGTAAGCAGGTCGTCTTTTCCCAGTATGCCTTAGAGATGAGTCCAGAGAGGGCATCTGACCCCCAGCCTACGCGTTGCTTTGGAATTCAAATGCCCAGTTTCTGCGTGCTCCCAGGAAAGCTTAGAAGCCAGTCTAGGGGTTCAGGGTTGCCCTCAGATTGCCTGTCTGTAACACATTTGTCAGTTGGCCAACTGTTGTGACTGAGCCCTCCTCACGGACCCCAGAATTGACACAGCTCAGACTTCTGTGCTCCTTAAAAAATACATATATATCATTGAGGTTTTGTTATTTTAAATTTTAAAATGAAAGGTTTTTTATAGGAACTTCCTTTTTGTGCTCTCGATTTTTTTGGTTTCCTGATGGATATTAAGACCACCCTTTTGGGAATGGCATGTTTAAACTATGCTTATTTTCTAAATCCACAATGCTAAATATTATGCTAATACTACAAATGTGCTTTCAATTGAGAATACTCCTGGGAGGGAACCAATGGTTAACAGCCACATAAGCGAGCATTTCTTATGGGTGGTTTTTAAGTTGCTTTTGGCAAATGGAAGATTCTTGCTTATTATTAAGTACATTTAATCCCAAAGTAAGCGTAACAGTGATTGTAGGGCTGGGTCTCCCTGCAGCAACCTGTTCTCTAAATGCCATATTCAAGCAGAGCTGCTTGGAACAAGTTGCCATAGGAGGCTGGCCTGTTTGCTGAATTTTCTCATCAGCTTCCCTTTTGGGTAATGCCACAGAGCCTTTGAGACTTAGAAATGTTCCAACTGTTTGAATCTTGCCATTTGTAAGTATGAAAAAAAATGTTAGATTTACATTTGAAAAAAGAATTCAAGTGTGTTCGTGAAGGCAGCTTCTATCTGCTGAGCCCTTCCTTCCCTTTATTCCCCAGAACATGTGTTTCTCAGCAAATTCTGGACTTCCCTGCACTGCACTCACACACACAGGCACTGAGCTGTCCTGATCTGAAGATTTTGGTAATGTGTTTTTGAACAGGGCATAAAAATATATCTCTGTAATTACATGATATTTAGTGATTAGATAATTATGGATAATTGCATGGGGTAGTTCTAAGTGCTAAAGTGTTACCATAAGATCTAAAATGTACAAATTGCATAATAATTATTCTTGGGAGTTATTTGGTAATTCTGAGCATAATTATCATGTGATCTGCAGTGCATGTAATTAATGCATAATCACATGGATTTTGCCTTCATAACTACTTCACTCTTGTTATAAAGCTCTTTGTCATAACATTTGCGTATAAATATAATGTAATTGGCTCCCAGATACAGCACATTAAGCCCTGTGATAATTGCCTTCACAGTAACAATATTCTTATTTCATCACAATTGTGTGGCTCTTCGGCAGGATGGAGTTAGAATGAATTGCCCGAGATTGGCCGTGAGTGGGCAGGACAGTGGCTGAGCACATGTGCTAGGAACCTTTCTGTGAGAAAGTCTGTGTCTTTCGCTGGGGTACATTCATCTTGCAGATGAAATGACACCTGCTCAAGGCCTCCTTGCTGCCCAGCCACGGATACTACTGAGCCTCATGTTGCTCATCTAGTAAAGTGCCTGTCTTGTTTCTGGGCCAGATGTCTCAGAAGACAGGGACTTGTATGAGAAGAGACCTTCTTAATAAACTGCAGTGAGAGGGAGCCCTGGGTTGTTGATGGCATTGAAGACAAACTTTGAAATGGCAGAAGTTTATCCTGAGACTGAAATAAGAGCTTTGGCTCAACTTCTGGGTTGATAACACAGCTTTTGCAACTTCCGCCAGGCTTTAAGTGGCAGGACGACTACACCCAGAACATGATGGCCCAGGAGCTCTCAGATCTTCCCCAGACCTACCCGCGACACCTGGATGCCCCTAGCACAGCCAGGTAAGCAGACGTGGTTATGTCTCCAGGCTCTCTGCCTGCAGCCTGCATCTGTCAAGCTTATTTTGTTTTTTTGTTTTGTTTTGTGAATTTTTGTGTTCTTTTTATTGTTTTACAAGTTTATTCATTTTTTTTGCTTGTTTGTATATTTCGTTTTTTTCTGGTATATTTTTTATTGGAGCTCGATTTGCCAACATATAGTATAACACCCAGTGCTCATCCTGTCAAGTGCCGCCCTCAGTGCCTATCACCCAGTCACCCCATCCCCCTGCCCACCTCCCCTTCCACTACCCCTTGTTGGTTTCCCAGAGTTAGGAGTCTCTTATGTTTTGTCTTCCTCTCTGATATTTCCCACTCATTTTCTCTCCTTTCCCCTTTAGTCCCTTTCACTATTTTTTATATTCCCCGTATGAATGAAACCATATAATGTTTATCCTTCTCCGATTGACTTACTTCACTCAGCATAATACCCTCCAGTTCCATCCACATTGAAGCAAATGGTGGGTATTTGTCGTTTCTAATGGCTGAGTAATATTCTGTTGTATATATAGACCACATCTTCTTTATCCATTCATCAAGCTTATTTTTATTCGAATTTATTATCTTTCTGGTGTAGAAGGTCCAGAGGGTTGGAAAGTCCAAAGAGGAGCTGATGGGTGCTTCTCTCTTCACCGTGTCCTAGCCCGGGGAGCAACCTGCCCTGGCATGACCCTTTACTCAGATGCCATCCTCATTGATGGACGTCCCAGGGGCCCTTCCCCTCCCTTTCCCAAGACCCTTGGAAAGCCCTGCATCTTCAGAGACTTGGCCGAAAGCAGAAAAATCAAGATTTCTCATCTCCCATTTCACTAGGAAAAAGGAAAAGGAAAAGGGCCTTCCCCAGACACTTAGGGCAGTTTGGAAGGTCCATTGTTTTCAGAGACTATTCTGAAAGTTTAGTTAGAAAAATCTCAGTAACACAGAAATGAGGGTATCTGCCTGTAGCTCATGTTCTTCTCATAAGTGAAGCAACTAAGCCAAGAAGTTCGTTTGCAAACCAGTGAGATGACATGAGTGGATGCCCATGAAGAATTCATGCGCACTGAGGACACATTCATTGTGTTGACCCACTCACTAGCCAGACGAGCTCCTGGAGGGGAGAAGGCATATCCTGCTTCTTGCGCCCAGCCTGTCCACTGGAGCGCCTCCTTTGTCGGAGGATGTGCCGTGACCGCCCATGGGTGTGTGCAAGACTCTCTGTAAGAAGAAACCACCACCAACCAAAGTCAGGCTGTCTTGAATTTCTGTTTCTGTCTCGTGTGATTGCATGCTCTTTGCATGGTCTTTAAATCTCACTTGGGCGTTTCTGTGCTGCCCACTGCTCCTTCCTTCCTCATGAGGGCTTAACTTCACTAAGTGTGAAGTTCACTGTCCTGGGTGACCTTGAACTCCACAATGAACAAAGAATGGCTCCCGATCCCACCAAGGAATGGGGCGTCACTCAGGGACCTGTGTTTGCACACAGGTGAGGCCACTGGATGGACACGTAGGGGCTGCCTTCTTACCGGCATCAATATTGTGATTTTTTTGGCTGGGTACAGTATACTTTATTGATGCTACATGACAAGGTAGGGCTCCCCAAGTCCCTCCCCTTCCTCAGGGGGTCTGGGATGTAAATTGGAGGTCAGGAGATTCTCAGTGTGTTGGGGGATTAAGTCGGGGCAGGGACTCCCCAGCAGCTGAGGGCCTCTCTCCTCTTCTTGTGCCTCTGCTGGAGGTGGTGGTCAAGGGGGCTCTTACTCCATGGAGACCATGTAGACCATAGGGTCTACCACTCAGGTGCTGTGGTCAAATTCATTGTCATACCAGGAAAGGAGCTTGACAAAGTGATATTGAGAGCAGTGCCAGCCCCGGCATTGTAGGCCCACTGACATGTTGGGGGATGGGGACACAGAAGGCCAGGCCAGTGAGCTTCCCATTCAGCTCAGGGATGACTGTGCCCACAGCCTTGGTGGTGCCAGAAGAAGCAGGAATGATGTTCTAGGCAGCTCCATGGCCATCATGCCACAGTTTCCCTCACCTGTCCTCTTCTCATAGCCTCTGGGGCAGGCTGGCCGAGGCCTGACCAGACCTCAGCCCCCTGGCTGTCTGCAGCAGGGGGTGGGCCGCCCTTCTCCCATGTCCCTGGAGGCGGCCCCCCCCCCCGGCAGCTGTATTGGAGGGGCTGTAGGCAGCGGGAGAAAGGGGCCCAAGCCGCTGACCCACTCACTCAGGACCTCACTCACTAGCCCCGCTTTGGGCCTCCTCCTGTGACCTCAGGGTTTGGCCCATGGGGCCCTTCCAGGCCCCACCCACCACTCCTCCCCAAGTGATTCTGCCCAGATAATCGTTTGTCTCTCCTCCTACCCTCCAGCTGCTTCTCAATCATGAATGTGTCCATGGCCCTGGGCCCTTGTGCTGCTGTGGGCTACCTGCCCCTCGGCAGGGGTGTTGGGGAGGGGGCAGTCCTTCCAGGGGGGGCCTTCCCTCAGCCTCTCCAATGTGGAGGTGAGCCCTGCCTCCCCCTCCCCTCCAGCTCCCCCCACAGGCCTGGAGCCTGCTGGGCTGGACTGAGGCTCAAGGCCTCCCCCAGCTGTCCCGCCCCCCAACGTCCCCACTCTAGGGCCAGGGGGGAGGTGGGGGAGGAGTTGTGTCTCGTCTTCTGTCTCCATGTGGTTTTGGGTGTTTTTCTTGTTGTGTCCTGGATTCCGATAAAATTAAATTGCTTCAAAAAAAAAAAAAAAAAACATGTCATCACTGGGTGACAGTGATGGCATGGATCAATGGCCATGAGTCCCCCCCAATGCCAAAGTTGTCATGGATGACCTTGGCTAGAGTGGCCAAGCAGTTGGTGGTGCAGGAGGCATTGCTGACAATCTTGAGGGAGTTGTCATACTTCTCATGAATCATGCGCATCGCAAACATGGGGGCTTCAGTAAAAGAGGTAGAGACGATGACCCTCTCAGCTCCACCCTTCGAGTGAGTCCCAGCCTTCTCCATGATGGTGAAGACCCCAGTGGACTCCACAGTGTACTCAGTACCAGCATTGCTCCATTTGATGATGGGGGGATCTCACTCCTGGAAGAGGCTCTGACGTCAGGCACATGGAGGTTGCCACACTGCAGCTTTATCAGCATGAGCCATGCCCACAGTCACTTCGGAAGCCTGCCTTGGCGGCCATTAATGCCTTTGGTCTTGGAGTCTGTTTTTCTAAAATTAGTGCTGCATTCCTGTTTTCTCTCTGTTTATTTGCTGCTTCGTTGATCTGGCTGCCCTTTAAAAGTCCACCCTTTGGATTCTTCCATTTTTCCATGCAGCCTTCCTGGGAAAGGCAGGTGGCAGTTCCTCCTGCCCCCGGGGGCCCTGACATCTCTCCTCTGGGGGGCGGGATGAATGTGCCTCTCTTGTCTTCAGGGTTTGCATTCAATTCGTGACCATCACTGTTTGGGTTTGCAGATATTTTTAGAGCGCAGGTTGAGTCATTATTGGCAAAGAAGTCACTGCTGTCTATCACCCTGTGTGCATGGCTGCCTTCTGCCCCCCTGGCATGCCTGCCGGTGCTGCTTCCGGCACAGAGCCCCAGTACCTGGCCCAAGCCTTTCACCAGGTTGACATTCGGTCGATATTTGCTGAATCAGTGAAGGAAGGAGAGAATGAATGAAAACTACTTGGTGACTTTGAATTATTTATGGGTAACTCCGCCACCCATGAGCCCTTCCTTGCTTTTTTCACTGCACAGGGCAAACACATTCCGCTTACACTCTGCAGAGCATTCTGGAGAGGTTGTGGGTGTCTGCAGTTGGCCAGAAACACACTCAGCATGTTTCCTACCAGACAGCTGACCTTTAGAGGAGTGAGCTTGCTCGGATAAGGCTAGAACCATCTTCTGAATGCCCAGCCCTACTCAAGCTGACAGCAAGTGAAAGCCAGGGAGTGGGCCCAGAGGTAATTAAGGAACTGAGAGGAAGCATTGGGAGTCATGAGAACATAGGAAGGAAGCTAGCCCCCTGCTGACACTCCCATGGGCAGGAGGCCACTGTGTATGTAGCTCCGGCGAGCTCCCACGGGGCTGTTGTTAACCACAGTTATCATGACTGAGAGAGGAGTGATGACCAGGTTCACCGTGTGCTCTCTGTGAAGATTTTGTTCCTGGTTTGGGTTGTTTTCCTTCAACAAATTGGGTGACAGCTGAAAGCCTCTCTATTATTTGGAGCCAGAGGCCGGTGACTGCAAGTGCAAGAGGGTAGTGAAGTCCTACATGTAAAATATTTTTACTTTTCTTGAAGTGGAAAATATGTACTTATGAAGTTTTGACTGACTTCAAGCTGAATGACAGAAGAGAGCCCCGTTTGTAAGTTACCTGCTCCAGGGTTGACAACGGGTGTGCTCATCAGTGTTGCATCTCACAGGGTCGTAAGCAAACCCACCAGCAACAGTCACCCCAGGAAGATGAACAAGACAAGTTAGAGGCACGTTTATGAGGTTAGCAACTCATCCTGGGGGAAGACAAACTACCGGAGAAGTGAACTGACCTGTTAAAATTACCCTGACCCACAGAACATGGGATCCATCCAGGCAGTGATGGCCCAAGAACTGCTAGCCATGCTTTGAGATCAAAGACCTGTGACGTCCTTATTGGCACACCTGTGAGGTCTGATTACGTGTAACTTAAAAGGCATGGGAAATAAAAATAGGACAACTTTATCTGATTGAGATAATTAAATGCAAATAAGAGGATTTTCTGTGAGTCCCAGCTTTTTTTTTTTTTAAGATTTTATTTGTTTATTCATGAGACACACAGAGAGAGGCAGAGACACAGGCAGAGGGACAGGATCCCTGTGGGGGAACCGGATGCAGGACTTGACCCTGGGATCACGCCCTGAGCTGAAGGCAGATGCTTAACCGCTGAGCCCCCCAGGCATCCCTGTAAGTCCCAGCTTTTATGAAATATAGACAAATACCACACCTAACGTCAGTGATCCGTTCTTAGAAATCAGACTTCCTATGTGAACAAACTAGCTGGGATCCTGCTCTCCATTACTTTAAGTGGAAAATCTATAATGAGTTACACACCCACCTTAAGCCACGTTTCCTGAAGTATGTCAGAATCACACCAGAGACCTACATGTAAGGAGCAGACTGTCATGTTTATATAAACTGCTCAAGACACTGTTTCCTGGTCCCTGAAGGTAGATACTGTTATTAGCACATTGAGCATTTTATTTGTGCTAACACAGCCTGCAAGACATCTGCACAGACCAGATGCACAGGTGTGGATGCACAGGTATGGACACACACATGAACACACACAGAGACACACAGACATGCATGTACAGACACATAGACACACACACGACCCTGAGTGGGACAAACCCCCTGCATTCTCAGGCTTCAAGCTGTGCCCCCACTTCTCCTGATTCGGGCTCTAAGGCCTCCGCCCTGTGCCTCGGGAACCAAGGCCCTCCTGTCTGCACACCAGAACACCTTGTTTCTAGGATCGTCATGAGACAGTTATCATAGGTGGTACATGTATAAATAAAAACGAAAATCAAATGATTACTTAAAAGTTAAATCTCTCCAAGTGAAAAAAAAAATCTCCACAGAAAGGACAGGAAGAAATGAAAAACACGGCAGGTGAGTCCATGCCCTTGTGTGCACTGATTTTCTAAAACTGAGTCTGGACGTTGGGTAAGCTGTGCTGCCTTCCTAGCAGCCTGGGGATATTTTTGTTCAACGTCAAGGCTACTTCTGGCAGATAATTAAAAACAATACAAATTTTAAAACCCGGTATTTACTTATGTGAAGGTCAAATGCATTTTAGTATGTGAAGAAAACCACCCACGTATATCGCTACATAAATGTCAAAGCTGTAATTGCTTACAATTGTTTATTATTCAAAAATCAGCTGCCACATTGGGGAGCATGCACTACAGAGGGTACGTTTGAGGTTGTGTAGAGTTGCCATAGGAAATGTGCCCAGTTCTTTGTACACAAAGCAGACTTCTGGTTGTCAAAGATGCCTAACAGAGGCTGGGAGAATTATTTTCAATATTTTTAAGATTTTTTTTAAGATTGTATTTATTTATTCATGAGAGACACAGAGAGAGGCAGAGACACATGTGACAGAGGGGGAAGCAGGCTCCATGCAGGGAGCCCAATGTGGGACTCAATCCCAGAACTCTGGGGTCACGCCCTGAGCCGAAGGCAGATGCTCAACCACTGAGACACTCAGATGCCCCCCAAACTTATTTTCTTTAAAAAAAAAAGGAAATAAGACATTCTCCTTTCAGACCAGTCCATAATTTGATCGCCCCCACTACACCACAATTACCAGTTTTGTTATGCTGAACTCACTTTCACTGACAATAGTTTTTAGATTTCAGAGGACAAGTGTCATTTAATAGGTTAGTAAGGTGAAGTGCTGGTGTCTTGGGCTACCCCTGCGTGGACTTAGAGGTTAATGGCTGTATCTGTGTTCACTCATTCGGTCCATGTGAACTCACAGCGGCTGCTGAGTTAAGCTCTGCATAATTCTGGGCTTGGGGCAGAGAGCAAGAGCACGTGGAGGGACGTGACCTTTCCCCTCAGGCAGCTTTCATTCTGGTTTAAGGACATATAGCAACAAAAAGCACACGTTAAATAAGGAAAGTGTTTCCAGCTGGTAATAAATGTGATCCAGACCGTGATTTCAGGGACGTACTAGATGGGGACCAGGACGTTGTGGAGGGTTGGCAAAGGCATGTGTGGGCCACAAAGGGCACGAATGGTCTGGGACGTAGGACGTGGTTGGAGCTTTTCCCCGTGAGTGATGGGACCTGGTGCACTTGCTGCAGAGGCTGCGGGGCTCCAGGCAGGGGTGTGACAGTAGTAGCACCTGCACCCTCTGCCACACGGCCACCCACGCATAGCCACACGTGACCCAGGGAGGCAGCAATGCAGGCGGGAGCCAAGGGTAGATACGGGGCATGTTTCCAGGTCCCATGAAGGACGGTGTCCATGTGTGAGCACAGAAGGAAGAAGAGAAAGGGGAACAGTGCAGCCTGCAGCCCCAAGTCTGCTGCTTCCACAGCGCACATCTATTGCCTTTCAGTTCTGGAGGCAGAGGCTCTGCCCGGGCATCATAGCCTCAACACCTTCTCTGGGGCCAGGCCACAAATGTTTTCTCCCTGGTGCATTCTGTGGCTGGATGTCTCTCTCCCCGACATTACTCTGACCCCCACCTGGCCTCTTTTAATGCCCTGTGATCACATGGGGTCACTAGGTAGCCCAAGGTCTGGGAGCAGCACGTCCTGCCACCTGCTGGCCCCGAGCTGTGGCACCCCACTGTTGGCAGGGCTGGGAACGGTCTCTTGGGTTTGCTGTGTTGCAGCTGCGGGCGCCCAGCCCTGTCCAGGGGTTTCCCTGCTCCATTGCTGTGGCGCCCCTGGATGGCTGTGCATGTGGGGTGTTCCCCTGGGTGTTGGGCAGGACCCGGGAGCTCCATCCCAGGGCTCTCCTGCACTGCGACTCATGCCTCCATGGCTGGGGAAGGCCCACCTGCCCATGAGGTCAGTGGGGGTCAGCTGTCCATTCTTTCTCGACCACACTCAGACCTCAAACCCCCTTCCGTGGAGACATCCATCCCCTCGGCTGCGCAAAGCCCTGATCTCTGCTTCTCAGATTCCTGTTGCACTGACAGTGAGATGTCTGTCAGCTTGTGTCATGTCCAGTGGGCCAGAGGGGCCATGTTGAGAATGTGCTCCAGGCCTCACCCGCCTTTGGGGTCACTCAGGTCCCCACAGCAGCTCGGGGGGCGCATGACAGATCCAAGCCCATGGCCAGGGGGCACCAAGAGGGCAGGGACTGGCCCTCTAGCCACCAGGTGAGTGTCCTCACTCGGCCCCCACACCATCCATGTGCATTTCACGTGAAGCCGAGGCCCAGGCGGCTCATTATTGTGAACAAACATATGACCAGCTCGTGGTTCTCTTTTGTTTTTCAGGACGTCAAAGCTGAGCATGGATCAGGACAGGCGGTATGGCCTAGAGGATGACCGGGCTCTGGCCAAGGCCATCCAACGCTACCTGCAGGCCCTGTCCCAGGCTGTGGCTCTGAACATGCGCCCCAGGACAAAGCACGACCAACCACTGACTCAGGTGACTCTCATGGCTTATTCTGCGGTCTGGGGCATGTGCAGGTTCCTCTGGCATGCATGGGGTTTCTCTCCCGTGTCCCAGGCTTTAGGTGGTACACAGAGGGCCTGGCACACACAGACATGTCCTGGACCCCTGTGAGTCACACACACATCAGGAGCCCAGCAGTGGCTGTTCCCCCACCCCCCAATCAACACTGGGCCAGCCAGTGGTCCAGGCCCCTGGGGGGGAGGCTCCTCAGGGTGTCCTCTTCGGGATGAGCCAGGGAGCTGTAGGAAGCTCACCACTAATCACAGACGTGAGCCCTGGAGACAGCGGAGAGGGTGTTTCCACCTTCACCACCTGGACTCGGGCAGCAGTGGACACAGCTCTGTGGGGGTGGCCGGCCTTCCCTGAGTGCCTTGAGCCGTGCTGGATCACACTGCATGTCCGTCCTGGGGACACCAACCGGGGCAGGCATCCCGTGTGGTGCGGAGTGGCTGGCACCAGGTTCCTGGGTAGAAGTTCATTCTGTCCCAACACTAAAACTGCCCTTGAGCCATTTCAGGGTCTTCAAAAGATCATTTTGAAGAAACAGAATGACAACTCTCAGTTAGCTTCTAGGCTGGAAGATGACCACCTGTGACACTGGGGTTGCCGGGTTTTGACTCACCTGGAAAGAGCAGGCACAGGGTGCTGGCGACCGTCAGAGCCCGCGGCCCTCCCGCATCCCAGGAGGGGGTTTGGGCAGCATGTTGAAGTCTAGAGTGACCATGGGCATGTAGGGTATCTGCTGCAGTGTGCACCTTCCGGTTTCAGTGATGGCCACTGGGGTTGACCTATTTTCCTTCCCGCAAGTGATGCTTGGTGGACAAAGGTCCCCTTCCTCTGAGGCTTCATCAGAAGGTGGTTGTGGCTCTGGAAAACATGGGTCCCTTCGTTGATGATTTTCCTGCCAAGAAGCCACAGAAATGATTGAAGCCCACCCGGGGCTGGGATTCTGGGTAGTGGCCACATAAGTTCCTCATAGAGGGCGCAGTGCTGATGAGGCCTCAGAGTTGCCTTCTTGTGAGAGTGATTGCTGAGGGGGGATGTCCAAACCAGGTGCATGTTTTCCTGGGTGCTGCGAGCCTGTGGGGTGAGGTCAAGGTATTGTGGGCTGGGGGTTCCTCCTGAGTCACGTCTCTATTCTGGGTCATGGGAACGTGTTTGCCCAGCTTCCACCGTAATAGCGAGGCCTTGGGTCCCCACAGGTGAGCTGCTGGCAGGAGAGAGTAGGAGAAGCCGGGAGGGCCCACTGTGCCTGGTGTGAGCCCCTGACAGCCTGGACCCTTGGCCAGCTTCCCAATGTGAACCTTAACGCTGAGTAAGCTGGGTCCACTTAACACTTTTTTTAAATGTTAAGATTTTTTATTAATTCACTGATACTTTCTATGAGCCAGATGCTCCACTGAAGGCTTGGGTGAAGGTTGGGATTGTTAGGACCTCTTCCCGGGGAAGTTGGCAGTGGACGTGGTGGGTGCGATGCCAGACACCCTGGAGCAGATTCAGACCTGGATCCCACCCATGTGGTGTGGCCTCAGGGCTGCTGCTTGGCCTCTCTGCCCTAGGACCTGGCTTGGAAGTCAGGCTGTAACTATCCTATGGTCATTGTGAGGATTTAGCAAGATGGCACCTGTCGAGCTCACAGGGAAGGCCTCAGCTAATGGTCGTCATTACCTCTCATCATAAATGGTCTTCCGACCCACGGGGAAAGTGGTCACGAGTCTAGGAAGCATAAGCTGCTCCGTGGTGGGGCCCCCATCTCCTGAGGAGAGCTGAGGACACGGCTGTGCCGACAAGGCCGCTTCCAGCTGCACCCTGGCACGCAGAACCCACAAGCTCTGCGGGTCTTGCTTGTTGACTCCACCACACACTGGACCTCCAGTGTCCCCCCCAGTCCTGAACATGGGTGACTCAAGTCCATACAAATGTAAAATCGACATGTCTTCGTTGAAAGGGACATGGACCTTCGTGCTCAGCCCTGGCTTCTGCTGGGGTTCCTGGGCTGCTGCAATGGAGACATTGCTGCATGTCCCTGTGTGTCAGACCTGGACGTGGCTGTGGCAGATGGAAGGGCAAGGAAGTCATTCATTAAAAGTTCCCGAGACCCAGAAGATTCAGAAGACACTTGAATGATAGGAACCCGCTGAAATCTGCCTGTGGGATGGTTTACCATGTTCCCCTGACCTTCTCTGGGACCTTCTCTGCTGGCTCCAGGACAGCCACTCACCTCTGTGCCTTGGGACCCTGGTGAAGCCCCATCAGCTGTCCCCATCCAGTGCAGCTGTCCCCATGCAGTGGGAGCCTCAGTGTCCATTCTAAACCCAGCACCATGATCCTCTGTAATGTGGTCATCTACTCACTTAGCCTCACACTAAAATGGGAGAGTCCAGTTTAGAATAGAATTTGCTCCCTGGACGTGGAGGGGCGTGGGCAGCACCTGGGTTCTCTGCCATCTTGTCTTGCTGTTGGCACCTGCTACAAGTGACCTGAGAGCATGACGTCGGGATCAGATAAACTGCACCAACTGTGGAGCCTTGGGAAGTGGGGCTTCTGAGACTGTGGCAAGGTCTATGCCACAAGTGTTGGGAGCAGCTGTGGCAATGCCATGGGAGGTGCCCAGTGGGAGCTCCTGGGGGCTCTCAGGATAGACCCAGGGCGTGACCTCCCAGGTGTAAATAACTGCCAGCTCTGCCTAGTGGGTCCTGGTAGGCCTGGGCGTGTGTGTGAATCTGTAGCTTCCTTACACTGGCCAGTAGGATTTGCTGCAGTGTCTTTCCAGGCCTGGCTCATGTACGCTGTGATTCCACCACTGAGTGTCTGGATGCATATCCTGGGATTGCTCCTGTTCTAGAAGAACGTGTGACTGGTGTCTGCATGGACCCTAATTCCTTTGAGAGCCTCTGACTAAGATGTGGGGTGGGCTGAGCTCTGAGGCTGTGGGGCCCTTGCCTCTGACTCTACCCGAGGGCCACTGGAGGCATAGGGAGGGGGCGTATCCATCCCTCAGGAGAGAGAAATGGGAGAGATGGGCTGGCGCTGGTCTTACCACACATTCCATCCATTTGACACGGCCAAGTTTGGCTTCCACAGTCCCCAAACACCCATCCAGTAGGATGGCCATGCACCATGGTTTGTCTGGGCACTTTTCCTCACAGATGTCCCCGGGTGAATCATGAATAAGTGGTTGTCCTACCACATGGTCATTTTAGCACCACAGTCACAAGGACTATTCAGAAAATGAGCACTTGGGGAAAAAAGAAGAAGAAAAGAAAATGAGTACTTCATGGCATTTTTGGCTTAGGCTTTTTTCTTCTATGTTGAGATAAGTGCTTTTCAGTATTAAAAAATGCATGAAAACTTAGAACTTATTATTTTCTTTGTCCAGTGTAATCTCTCTAATGAACAAAGCCTGGATAAAGTATGAGAAGTCCATAATCAGATGTTACCCATCTACACAAAAAAGCACACTTTTTTTTTTTTTTTGCCACAAAAGTATACCCAGTTAAGGCTTTGAGCAGTGTCTTCTGATTTCTGCCCTCTCAAGTGTTGAAAATCTTAGTTGGAAATTTCAGCTTTATACACTCATGATCTTTCAAGGTGCAAACAATTTCCAATGAATTGTTTTATAAATAGTCTTTTCTTTCTGTGTTTCTTTTTTTTAAAGATTTTATTTATTTACTCATGAGAGACAGAGAGAGAGAGAGAGAGAGAGAGGCAGAGACCCAGGCAGAGGGAGAAGCAGGCTCCATGCAGGGAGCCCAACGCAGGACTCCAAGCCGAAGGTGGTGCCAAACTGCTGGGCCACCAGGGCTGTCCTCTTTCTGTGTGTCTTCAAAGATCTAACTCTAGCATAGAGAGAGAAACATTGTGAATTTATTACCTTCAGAGGCATTAATACTCTTTACTTCATAACAGAAGCAAAGGGAGTAGAACAGCAGTGCTGCTCTGTTTTCTCACTCAAGCAGCATCCTTGTTCCCTGGGTGTTGTTGGGGTGGAGGCAGCTCCTGTCTTTATGGACCATAGCAGCATTGGTTAAATGTCCTTGTAAGTCACTCTAGAGAACACAGTAAATTCTTAACTTACACTATGCTGTAGAGGAGATTAAATCCTAAAATCATTACTTGGAAACTGATTTATTTTGTAAACATTGTTTCAGCATTTTTCATGTTTAATAGGCTGTGCTAGGAGCTGGGATTAGAAAGATAAACCCTAGTCCTGCTGCTGGGACCTCACAAGTCCTCCCAGGTAAGGGAGACACGCAGGTACAGTTAAAGGTGGAGCAGCAAGGCAGTGCAGGGAATACTCAAAAAAAGAAGGCCTGTGAACCAGATGATGAGTGGGTCAGTGAGGGCTTCTTGGGATGGGTACTGGAGGAGCAACTAGAAGTTACTGGGTAGACTCAACGTGCAGAATGTCAGGAGACCCCCCCAGTCCCACCTGAATAGCATGAACAGGCCAGGTGAGCGACCAGTCCTAGCTTTTAGAAAACCTCTTGGATTGCTGATGATACAAAGAAACCCAAATGAACTGAATTCCAAAAACTAGTGAGGTCATTCTAGGGGAGAAGAGGCCCCACTACTTTTATATTGGCTGCAACAGCAGGAGGGGAACCAGCTGTAGGAGGGATGGGAAGAGCATGGCCCCAACTTTAAGGAACCACTGACAGTGCATGGAGACCGGCATGAGGGGCAGGAGCCCCAGGAGCAGCTGCACAGAACACTGGGTGTACAACAAGACAGCATACTGCAGAGGGAGACTGGGAACACCAGACCCTCCTGAGCACTCTTCAGCAGCCCTCTGGAGGCTTGGGACAAGGCAGAGTAGTAGGATAAGTTGTACTGATGGGGAGTAGAAAGGTGGGGCCCACAGAGCAGTATTGGCTATAAATCAGAGATAGCTCCCATGGTCATAACAGTGGCAGCTGTCTTCAAAGCATAAAGCCATCCTCAGAGTCACACTAGGGCTGAGGTCCCAGCGC